ATGTTACTATTTTATAAATTACTTAATAAAGATATAAGCAAGACTTCACCTTAAAAAAAAAAAAAAAAAAAAAAAAATAATTGTAAATATAGTTTTAAGAATTTAATAAAGTATTAGCATGACTGTTTAAAAAAAAAATTGTAATACATTTATTTAATTAATTAATTAGATTGTAAAATTGAATGTAAAATAAAAATAAAATAAAAATAAAAATTTTTTTAAAATTATTTGTAGTTTATAATTTTATTTGTAAAACTGTTTTGCATTTTAATAAAATTTTTTTTTGTAAATTTTAGTGTAGGAATAACTTTTATTATTATTTAATTTTAATTTATTTAACTTTAATTTTTATTTTAAATTAATGCATTAATTAGTTTGTTTTAATTTTATATTATATTTAATCTTATGAATGCATTATAACACATATATATAAATGTTAAATTTTTATATTTTTTAATTTTAAACTATAACTTTATTTTTAATTTATAAAAATTAAATAAATGCTTTTGTAACAATCCGTTATATGTAACAACTTCAAATTAGCCAATAGTAAAGTTAAGATTTAAGTTATATAAATTTGTTATTTTTATTAGTTGTATTAATTGAGTTGTTACAAATAAGTGCATAACAGATAGTTACAATTAAATTTGTCTATAAAAATTTATACTTTAAATAATATAATTTAATTTTATATTTAAAAAGTTAAAGTTAGAATTAAGATTGAAGTTAAAATAAAATTAAACAAGAAATATTTTTTTATTAGTTACATAATAGGAATTACTCTAATAAAATTTTGAGATATCAAAAAATAAAACTTCAGATAAAATTAGTTTAAAATCTAGAATTAACATTTACAATAATTAGGGTCCGAAATCAGGTCCGATTACTCGGAGCCTGACACTTTTAGGCCCGTAACTATAGCGGGCCAGGCTTTATAAAAATGCCTATAAACTTCAAAAACCATTACAGCTGTTTTCATAAATTCTGGAAATCTGACAAAAAATCGACCAGCCGAATATTTGCGATTCGATAAGTTTACAACTGTTTTCATAAATTTTGCAAAAATTGACCAACCGAATATTTGCCGATTCGATAAACTTATCTAATCGGGTAAATATTCGGTCAATCAATTTTTTGCAGAACTTATTAAAACAGCTGTAGCATTGCCGAATCAAAACTTATCTAATCGGTAAATATTCGGTCGGTCAATTTTTGCAGAATTTATGAAACCAGCTGTAAACTGAGTTACAGGCATATAGGATAACTTTCTTTTAATTGGTCAATCACTCACGATTGTATTTATATAGTTTAAAAGTACTTTTTAAGAATGTAACATTTTAAAAGTAAAAAATAAAAATTAAACTCATCGCAAAATAATCCCGCACCTAGAAATACCTTACCTAGAAGGTGACTATAGAACTATATATACTTACTAAATTGTTAAAATACAGCCGAGTTATTTAAAGAAAACTAACAGTACAAACGTTTTTTTTTTTAACAATAGATAATCGATTTCTAAGCTATGTTAAAAAGGTCTAAAGCATAAAGAATGTTAATACATAAAAAATAGAGTTAGTAATAAGAGTGGTTGAAACTTTATATATGTATATATATAGAGATTAATGAATCTTATCATAACGAGCTTTGGGTATCCTCAAATACTATATTAGTTTGGTATAGAATGTGTGATAGACATTTAAAAAAATACATATATAACCTTATTTTTTTTCTTTATTCTTTTGTTAAAGTGAGAAGCAATAGAGAATAATTAAGTTTACGAATATAATGTAATTTAATTGGTTGATTGTCACATGCTTCACAATTAGCCAATAGGGGTTTAGTTTGAACGGGTTTATTAAAGCCCGGCCCAACTCGCCCGATTCCGAACCCTGACAATAATACAATAACAATATATAAATAAAATGTCTTAATACATATCAATATAGATCTTTGATTTTTGCTTAAATTTAAAAACGTATACGTATAATTTAGAAACAATTTTTATTTGAAAAACTAATTATTTCTTGATGAATTTTATCAAAAAAATCCAATAATTGGAATTTTAGAAATCATATAACGATAGCGTTAAATTTTTACTATATCGATATTGGTAAGCTTCAAATTATAAAATTTATAAAAAAAAAAATTTATCTCAAATTTAAAGTTAGAAGAAATTTTTTTAGTACGTATTAAATATTTTTACTCTACACACCAAATACCAATTACTAAAGCTGTTTTTGAGAACATCAAAATTTTAATTTTCAAATTCCTGTATTTTCTTTTCATAGAAAATTATTTTTTCAAATTACAGTACGTATTGAGTATATGAATGAAAGCGTGTAACTGTTTACGGAATTGCAACGTAAATGAAACACACATCTATGTATATATAAAATAGGAGAAATTCTAGTTAAGGGGTTGTCTTATCTGACATTACATAACGATAAGTATATAGTATAATGAAAATTTTTTTTTAAACATAAAGGTAACGCAAAAATTTGATCCTTTCTATATAAATTATTACAACAATTGCGGTTCATAACCAGGCACTAGCGTATTTTGGGTCAAAATCGGTGTCACGGAGAGTTAAACTCGAATATTCAGTTTTAAAAATGCATTTATAAGCGAATTTTTATGATTTTATGATACAGATTGCTTAATTATGACATCATTATACATCATTTAAAGCAGATTACGTATTAGAATGTGATTGCCGGCAATTCGGCAAGTATCATCAATATTGATTTGCAATATATATAATTTAATTGGTTAGAAAAACAATACAATGCAAAAGGTAAGTTCATACATCATCTAAATATTGTGGCTTGACTCAGATGTATCAAGAAAGAAAATATGCCGGCAAATGAGTATGTATTACGTACGTATATGCTTTAATCATATGTACGTATTAAATTGATGTTACTATTAATAGACTAACTTTTCCAAGTTATATTTAATTATTAAGGCATAGCACAAAAACCTACTAAAGAAAGAAAGCATAATAAAGATCATAGCTTATGCATGCAAGTCAGGTAATATTTGTCGATCTTAATGATTGAGACGTAAACATAATTGGGTTAATTCGCGTTATGCTGAAATGTTTTTTTTTTAAAAAAAAAATTGGTTAAGGATTTATATAGATTGTGTTGTATCAATCCAATTTACTTATGTACATATGGTACATACGTACAATTGACACAATACAATGGATGTATGAGAAATAATATTTAAAATCTAATTTATGTTTGGTTATTTTGTTCTGTACCCGAAAAAAATTTTTATCGGTTACAGCTCAACTTGAAACAACTGCGGTCCTGTTTACATACACGTGATTGCAGAGTAAGAAACGCGTCATGAAACCTTATAAAAACTTAATAAGTTCTTTCTTACAATATTTAAATAAGTTATTTAATTATGCCAAGATAAAACCTATCTAAAAAGAATAAAATGTATAAATTCATCCAACCAAAATGTATAATAAATGTATAATAAATGTATAATAAATGTATAATAAATGTATAATGAAAAATTTTAATATGCAATCATGATTAATCAATGCATATTTGAAACTGGTACGTAATATAGGTTACATACTATACTGTATTGTAAAGAGCTCGAATTTCGTAGTGAATTAAATTTGTATGTTCTATTTGAACTTGTATAAAAATTTTTATTGTAAGGAATCATCGATAACAAATATTTACTATCATGCTGATAAACATTGATGAATGATATAATATTTTTGTCATCTGTCATAACAACTAGCGTCATATTAATACACTCATTGTCAATAAATAATCGACTAATTTGGTAAACTATGTATTGCAATTGTTTTCTTTTTTTCTTTTTTACACAAAATCAAACCAAACTTATTTTTTCATTATGAAGACCATCAACAATCGCGATGAAAAATTTATTTACTTCATAATAATGAGCTGGCGCAGCATATCTCGTTAATTGAATTATTTTGCAAATAAACAACACTAAAAAATGAATATGAACCTTTATTAACATCCGAAAACAAAAAAACTAGTTACAAAGTGATGCAGAGGTAGTCTCGAAATATAAAGAAGAAATTAAATCAAAGATTAATAAAAATACATTTCAAATTAATGGCTAGAATGAATGCAATATCAAGAAAAAAAAAATAAAGGAAAAAAAAGTAGAATTCAAAAGAAAATATCGTAATAAGACAGACTAGGAAAAAAAAAAAAAACCACACACACACCGTTCCTCCCGAAAAGATAAAATGATCCAATTTCAATGTATACGCTTTTGATTATTCAAAATGAAGAATTTTTTTTGTTTTTTTTTTATGTGTACAATGAATTATGTCGAAACTAAGTCAGATTTTGCCAGCAAGTATACACTGATCACGGGACCTTCGAACCAGCCGAATTGACCCAAAGCGATATATATTCACACCACCGAAGAACCAATTTTCATCGTGAAAATAACGATAAGTATAGTCATTACAGCATTATTAATTGAAAATTTAAAATATCCATTTTATCTCATTAAAACAATTAATTAAATTATGTGCTCGTTCGCACGATATTATATTATCTGTATGCTCGATTAGAATTAATAGAAGCACTTTTGAATCCTTGTTTAGTCATCGTTTCGTTAACTTCTGTCAACTGAATATAATCAATTTCAAACTTAATGAAGAATACATGCCATAGAAGTTTGTTGTAAACATTTTGAATAGTGGCTTGTGATGTAGGTTTTTTATAACGGCTTTTATATTGCAACTTATTATAACAGTCTGTTGTATAACAAATTTGTTATATAATAATGCAATTGTTGTCCAACAGTATAATAGTAATATAATGGCTGTATAAATTGTATAACGGCTAAAAATAATTGCTTATAATCTTATATAACATTTTATAATAATGGTTTTGTAATGACTATGTAAAAGGCTATGTAATGGTTTTATAATAGCTGTATAATGGTTTTAAATATTCGAATTAATTCAAATTCATATAATATGAATTGATTCGAATATTCGGTTTTTTTTTTCGTATATTCGATTCCAACCTCTAAGCCGATGATGATGAATCGTCTGTGTTATTTGTTAAAGTGGTATCTGGTTCAGATAATTCCATTTTCTTATGTTTAACGTTCCTTCCAACTCTAGCCCAAGGGCAATGTTGTAAAACGTCCAATTGTCTTTGATCTCTTTCCATATAATCTCCCCAATGTAAAACATAACGACGTTTCTTTCCTCGAGGTGCTCTCCAACAATAATCATATTCACATAATAAACATCTAATTGCTATAATTCTTTTAAGAACGATCGATGGACAACGACCTTGATAAAGAGAGGCATATTCTGCAAATTCTTTTTTTCTTGCTAGAATTTTGATATTTGATTCAAAATTTGTTGCTTCTTTATTATTTAAAAATCCTGTGATAGCAACGATAGGTTCCCAAACATGTTCTCCTCCATCTGTTGTTAAACGGTTATGTTTTTCAAGGCGGTCCTAATGATTAAAAAAAAAAAAAAAAAAAGAAAGAAATAATTCGACCGATTTTCATGGCTTATTTATTTGTATTGTACAATCCCAATATAGAATTGATATTTATATTACCTTGAGGTCATGAGTGTTACCAACGTATACTTTTGACCTGTTTTGATTGAAGAGGATATAGACACACCAAGTATTAATTATGGATTCTAATCTCGAATTACTCGACATTTTTTTTTTTTCAAAGGAAGGAGTTGGACAGAGTTCGAGTGTGTGGATGACAAAAAGGGAGAAATAAATAGGTACAACTGTAGGCTATTTATTTATATGCAAATGGGCTTGAAATGTTTCATGGGATTCGTGGCACATGTTTAGGGCCCAAGTATGGATTCGGGGCATGCAAAGATCTGAACACCGATACCCAGATATGGAGATTTTAAAGCGAATAACCGATTAAAAAAACGAAGTTTTATCAATGCAAGTTCATTAGATGCTCATTCAACTCGTAACACAAAAAAATTTTACAATACTTTGTTCCAAAAAGTCAATCAACAGTGCACGAGAGAGTAAAAAAAAGAAAGATAAATAAAAGAATGTGATTACGAGAAAGTTTTACATTATTTTTTTGTAAACAATCTTTTTACCTTTATCATTTATTAAAAAAAAAAAAGAAAAGAAAAGAAAAAGATTCGAAAAAAAATATTTTTTGGGATCATTAGTTTTGGTTTAATCTTTAAATATTTTAAAAGTTTTTAAAGTTTTATTTAAACTTTAAAAAAGTTTCTTTAATAAACAAATTTAATCAAATTTTGAAAAAGTTGACATACCTTGTTGAATTCATTTGGTTGATTCATGACTGCGCCACATTTGAAGTGGTTTGAGCATCAATCACACCACAATTATGAAAAATAGATAAATCTCGGATGAAATTTAGGTTATCAGCTGAATTTGCTTTCTTTTTAACTCACCAAATAAGTAACTATAAGAATTCTGTACTCTTGGGCAAAAAAAGAAATAATTTCATCACCAAAGAAGGTAAAAATTGCCTTTGGAAAGTCAAAGGAAAGTTTTTTTGCGAATCATTATAGCATCTATGCAGTGTTAACAACGTGATCGAGGATAATGGTAATTAAAGAAATGTATTTGTAGATCAATTGATTGAAATTTCCTAAGAAATTTTAGAAAACATGAGAAAATTGAAATTGTGTGACTGCGCCACCCTGCATTTATCGCTCTTTTCGAAAAGAAATAAGGCGCGAAAATGTTTAAAAATATATATATAAATATAATAATATAAAAACCTCAAAGTAAATCTCATTATATTGCGCGATTAATAGTTAATCGATTAAAAATCAATTCAAAATGTTTGGATGATCATACAATTAATAGCAAAGTTAATATTTAATATAAATTTTGAAGAGCGAAAGTAAATTATTTCCGCGTAACAATGGATGAACAAATATGAAAATAAAAATTTATAGATAAACAAAAAAAAAAGTCACGGGATTCGTAGATATGTAATTATTATAATCTTAATAACTTTGACCGACCAGATGAATCGTCGATTGGATCTACTGCGTGTCCATTTTTCATATGCGCTCATTAAGGACTTTCCAAAAGCACCGACATTTTCGTATTGTTCAAAATATAATTCAAAAAAAAATAAAACAAACAATTCAATTTAAAAGTTCAATGATCACATGATTTCTCAGGGAATTGAAATTTCAATATTATCCAATCGGCTTTCATAAAGTCCGTGCGACAATATCATTTCCTGATTTGTTAACAAAGATCCTTATTCGCTCTCCTTATTTTTTTAAGAATTGTCTTTAAATGAATGGTAAGTTATGATTTCAAATCATTTGTATGATAAATAGTCTGTTTTAAGTGTTCGTATCTGTTATTATAAATGATTTTCATACGTAACTTATCCTACAAATCATATTATTTTTTCATAGTGTGAAATCCATACGTAAAAAAAAAAAATTATAAATATGGTATATAAATAAACAAACAACCACCCACACACACCTAAATTCACACCGTGCATACATACATATCTGCAATGCGCCTATTTGTTGATTTTCATGCAATGCTGAATTATCGTATCAGCCATACGAACTCGGTGTCATCCGTACGAGTTTGTACGTAATGGTTATAATTTTGGAAAGGACTCGGAGAAAGACTATGCTTTTTTTAGCAAGATCTTAAATGAACTTATGTTACGTGAATTTATTTGGGATGATTCGAGATTGAAATTGGGTTTAAAATGATTAAGTGATTGATGGATTGTGGAAAGATTAAGATAACAAGAATTTGCTAGATGGTATAATGAATTTCGGTCTTTTTATTTCTTTTCCTTACTTCATTCTTAAAAATTATTCGTTACCTTACATTTCAATCTTTTCAAATATTTACTAAATATGCAAATAATATGTCAGATATGTAATTACTATAAAAATTAATGTGGTGGTGTCACGTGATGTGCAATGTTTAATTTGAAATATACCATTTTCAGTTTCATGCTTATAATAGCATGGATATTCAATTGGAAGCTTCTAATTCTTCTAAAAAGTACTCTAAAAAATAATTCTAATGTTCTAATGCAAATTTTTCATGATTTAAATTATTCTACATCGGATTGATTAAATAGGTTATCTATAACCCTATTTAGTCAGTTATAATTAACGTTTAACCAATTAACATAAATTTGACCATGTTAGAGTTATTTAATAAAACTTTAAGAAATCTTGTGGACGTTATTTATATCGTTACCAATAATTAAATCGCATCTTTTTTTTTTGTATGCCTTAGATTACATACATCGTCATAAACCTCTTTTAAATCTCAAATTATCATCTAGTAAAAGTCTTAATCTATTGAACTATTATCGAATAATCATGAAAATAAAATGAAATTAAGCAAAGTTACTTAAATAATGTACCAGATTCAGATACCTATATGTATGACCTGAACACTCATGTATTACTTAATCAAAGGTATTGTTTGCAAGGCGGACAGGTCATAATTTGTTACTATAATTTGGTTCAACCATACGCTCGACCAAATATACTTATTTGTGCCTCTTAGGGTAGAGAACCCTAGCGTGGCTAAAGTAATTTGATATATCATAATATAAGTTTAAAAAATTACATAAAAAAAAAAAAATTTTTTTCGGATATTATTAAAGTTTGTTTATCCAATCAGATTACATGAATATAATTTTAACTCATGAATCGTGCCACTATCAGGTGACAGTCACAAACGGTTTAAGTGTAAAGTCAGTCTGTTGAAATTGAAAAGGAAATCAATTAATTTTTAATAAGTGATTCTTTCAAAGACTATATATACAGCGCTTGTCAATAGAATATTTTGGTTCACGAATAGAACAATAAACATTTTTGTTAAATATAATTTTTTTTTTCGGTTTTAAATAATCTGTAATTACTTAATAAATATATTATTAGAAAAGGCTAAATATTTATCTATAACAGTTAATATGATATATATAAAAAATTTACAATAGAACAATAGAATAGAATGAATAGAATTTACAATAGAATAATAGAACGCCAACACGAAAATTAGATGCTGAAATAAATAATAGATCTGCATCAATATAGGCTATCAATTTCTTAGTACAAATATGTCGTAGACATACGTACTTCAACAATGCAACTGTGCAAAAAGAAAGATTTTTATTGATTTAAATCAGGTGATGTTTATGATTTACGATAAATGCCGCATACGAATATTCAGCCATAAATGTCACCTGATTTAAATCAACAAAAAGCTTTTTGGTGCTATTTCAAAAATTTTGAAGCTTGAATATTCCAAGAATTCCGATAAAGTTAGATACTAATAGTTTATATGCAATATATTTTAAATTCAAAAAATATATAAACAATTGTTGCAAATGATGCTGAAATGTGGGGATATATAGACCTTACTAAAATCCATTTATATCTTTTAATTCTAACCTTAAAAAAAAACAACAAAAAAGCTCAAAATGATTAAAATTATATAAAATAAATTCAAATTACATTATTCGATTTTAGCATCTTTTTTTTGATGTTAAGGTGAGGTCTTGCCTTGTAACTTTATTAATTATTAGTGTTTTATATATATTATTACATGTATCTATTATACTATACTATATTTTTAAAGTTTATTTATTCAGACTTAAGTACCTATTATGGTAGTTCATGTTATAGTCAAGGTCAATATTTGCAGTTAGATTTTTCTTAAATTATTATAATTATTTATTTAATTTGCAACTTAAAGCTATTGGAATTTTTAATATTATATATATATATCTTTATTTTTTTAAAACTTAAGCAATTATATTAGTATTTTATTAAAAGTTTTGAAATTATTTTTGTAATTATATAAAAATATTTAATATTTAAGTTCAATATTATTTGTTTATTCTAATAGTACTTAAGTGCAATTTGTTATACTATTTTAAACAAAAGTAAGTTATTTGTTTAAGAATTTTTTAATTTTTTGTATATGCACTATAATGCATACTCCTTATACCCTATAATTCATGTGATTGCCTTAAAAATACCATCTTCCTCAGTATCACCATCAAAATTTTCACTTTCACATAACAGTATTTAAAATTTTTAAATTCATTTAAATTAGGGTTAGCATTTATAATAAGGCTAGGTTTTAGAGATTAATAGTAAAATCACTCAAGGAATTTTTTTTGTTAGAGTGCAAAAGGTGATTTCTTATGCAAGTTTTTGAGAAATAAGAGATTTTTGAAAAGTGAACGTTTTGTTTTGATCTTCCTAATCATGTAATGTTATATTAAAACAAAACCTACTATTGGATGATCATCACATGAAAGTGAAAATTTGATGGCAATACTAAGATAGTTAAAAATATCCTATAATTCATGTGATCACCCCAAAATTTGTACTACTTTAAATATAGTTTGTTGATTTACTTACACTTACCCTTATCAAAGACATCTTTTTTATGTGAGAGTATAACCAAAGGTGTAGAGAAGAAAAGCAGTAAGAAGGAGTTGTGTAGTTTTATAGTAAAGTTATACAAGATAAGGGTCAAAATTGCTTACCATATTTGTAGCATTAGCATTTGAATTTTACTGAAAAATGACTAAGTATTTTGCTAAATCTTTATCATTTTAAAGTTTCACTAAAAAGCTATAAAGTTTCATCTGAAGCCAACTTTGATCATACCAGTACCTATTCCCTTGTAAGTAGAATTTAGTGATAAGCATCTGATTTCATTCATATTCCTTTTTTAACATTCTTTATTTTAGCAAGTATAAAACATCAATTTGATAGTGCAAGTACAATTTGGATAACCATACTAATTTTTGACTAAAGTCTTTGTGAGTTTGTTGAAATGCAAGTGTTTGGTTTTGTCTATGTGCATGTCATTTCATCTGTAACTTCGTTGAAATGCAAGTATATGGTTTCGTCTGTGCCTTTGTTGAAGTATAAGTATATGTTTTCATTCATAAATTCATTAGTATAAGTGTATAGTTTTGTTTGTGAGTTCATTAGTATAAGTGTATAGTTTCTTGAGTTTATTGAAGTGCTAGTATATGGTTTCTTGAGTTTATTGAAGTGCTAGTGTATGGTTTCGTTAAAGCTGTAAAAGGTAAAGTTCTTAATTGCCCATCACATCTGCAGCATTGATATTAGGTTTTTATTTTGAAGTCTGAACTAAGAACATCACTTTATTATTTTAAAGTTTTATTTGAAAGCTATAAAGCCTCACCCAAAGCTAACTTTGATTATACTAGTACCTTTTGCTTATAAGTATAATAATTATTGTGGACTGTCTTATTTTGATCATAATCTTTTTTCTGATGCTCTTTATTTCAACAAATGTGAATTTTTTATTTGATAATAATCTTCAGGTTTTGTAATTGTAATATTGTTGAAGTGCAAGTAGTAGTTTTGTTGAACATTTAATAAAGCTATAAAGAGGTAAAGATCTTTATTGCCTATTATATTCATAGCATTAACATTGGAATTTTTATTAGAATCTGAATTAAGAGCATCTGATTTTAATAACCTTTTTTTTGATATTTATTTTAGCAGATGTATTTAATAATACAAGTACTTTTTGGATAAGCATGGTAATTTTAAACTAAAGTTTCGAGTTCTTGAGAGATATATTTATTAGATTAAAACTAATACAAGTTTATCTGATATTACAAACTAGTTTTTTTTTGGGTTGTCATTTATGTTTCACTATGAATAAAAACCAGGATAATTTTTTGACTGTAAATAAAAAACTGAAAGATTTTTTTGTTATAAATGAAGAGAATAAAGAGCAAGAACATTTTATGAATAAAGCATCAAATGATTTTATAAATGAAGAAGCCATGGATTCTGAATTTGAAATAGGTTTGTTAAGAGTTTGTCATAGATAATAAGAATATTGTTAAATGTGATGTTAACATATTAATATTTTTTTTTTGTTATTAATAGAGTGCCATGATGATATGCTATCACAAAATAAAATAGAATCATTATTCTTATTTTCTGGAAAAAAATTTGGTACATGGGATGAATGTGAGTTTTTTCTCAATGAATGGGCAAAGGATAAAGGATTTTGTTTTATTAAAGATCGCATTACTTAGAAAAATGGAGTTTTTTATCGAAGAACTTATTTATATGATCATGAAGGGTTTTACAAATCAAATACTGAAAAAGATATAGTTACTAAAAAGACACAATATCCTTATCTTGTTAATGCCTTATGTTTTAAAATTAACAATATAGAACATTCCATATTTATTAACAAAATAGTTGATACTCATAATCATTTATTGAACAAAAGCAGAGTTATGTTCGAAGATAAAAAACAATTTACTGCCAAAATGCTAGCAGATGTAAAATTTATGATTGAAAATTGCAAATTTAGAGCAACTGTACAAAGAAAGTTCCTAGAAAGCAAATATCTGATATGAATAATATGCTCAAAAGACCTGTATTCTGTAATCCAAAAATTTTGTTCTACTAACAAATCATTGCTTAATAATGCAGCAAAGGTATGATCTAGTCTATTATTATATAAGCAAATGATATAAATTAGGTTTGATTGGTTTGATTGATGTATTACTTTATAGGTTTTCAATTGGCTTGACCAGAAAAAAAATATGGATTCTTGTTGAGTTGTCGTATATAAGTTTGATGAAGACAATACCTTAATGCATTTACTATGAATGATGTTAGGTCAAGTTGAAAATTAGATCCAATACCCAGACTGTATTTTATATGATGTTACTCACAAAACTAATTATTACAGAATGGCATTGGTGTTGTTTGTTAGGTTTGACAGTAATTATAAAAATATTTTATTAGCACAAGCACTTCTTTGTAATAAAAGTATTGGCTCATATAAGTGGACTTTTACAGAAATCATTAAAGCCATAAATGTTTATCCAGCTGTTATTCTTACTAATACTGATCTAGCAGTTGATGCTATAGTTTGTTAAGTATTTACTATAATATATCCGATTCATTGTACTTATTATTTAACAAAAAACCTACAAAAAAATCTCAAAAAGCTGTTAGGCGATGCATATCAAAACTTTCTTAAAGACTTTTATATTTGTCATAATAGTTTTTCTGAAATTTTTTTTTATCAACAGTTTAATAAACTTACTCAAAATTATCCTAGTACCAAAAGTTATTTAGAGTTTCTTTTTAAATCAAAAGCCTATTGGGCCCATTGTTTTATATGTTTCAAGTTTACCAGAGGAATGATTGCTACATTACGAGTTAAATCAGTAAATGCATGTCTGAAATGTTTATTACATAGTTCAAATGTCTCTTTATGTGATCTTTTAACTAAGATTACTAAGTTATTGGATATTTAGAATAGAGAGAACAAATATAAATTTTGGAAGCTCTCGATTCCAAATGTGAAAAATTAGAATAAAGTGAACTTTTTGTTTACTAATGTTGACAAGTGTATTTAAAAGTTTCTTATGCCAACCATTTTACAAATGCAACATAACGAAATTAACCAGTTAGTTTATTATATGTCAAATGTAATTAAGGATATAATGCATTCTAGTGAAGTGAGGGTCTAATTATTTATAGGTAATATCGACACTTCTAATACATCATATTTTATTAAATAAATTAAAAAGCTTATTAATAATATTAAATCTAATGACTGTTATTTTAAACTATACTTTTAGG